CCCCCCCCCCCCCCCCACTTCCGCAGGCCAGTACTGGCGCTCCCTGCAGAGGCTCGCCTCCACCACCGGCTACTCCCTGGTCGAGGCCCAGAAGTGTGAGAACGAGGAAGCCGAGACTGTTACTGCCATGGCCTCGCTGTCTGTGGCCGTGAAGGCCCCCGAGAAGAGGTGAGCGCGGACACCGGCCGGCCGTGGGTGCTGCCGCCGTCTGCGGGTGACCGCGGTCTTTGCTCCCGGCTGTATCGGGCCCACGTGCTAGCTCAGCAGGGCCGGGAGTGGGTGTCCTCACCCCGGCCCCAGGGCAGACTGCACCAGAAGCAAGAGCCCGAGAAACACTTGAAGGGCGCGCGGGCCAGAAGGAACACTTCCCTGGGGGAGGGGCGGGGCTCGCTGGGAGTTGAGGCGGCGGGGGCGGCTCGGAGTCGGGGGGCAGGGATAGCTAGGAGTCGGGGCTGGGGAGGCGGGAACCTCCGCCCACCCGCCCTCTCCTCTTGCCACCCCGCCCCCGCAGCCCCGACGAGGAGCCTATGGAAGAGGAGCCGCCCCTGTAGCCGCTCCCGCGAGCGCGGGTCTCCTGTTTGTCTGTCTCCGTCTTGAAGCTCCGCCGAGAAAAGTTGCTGCCGCCCTGCGTCCTGCCGGCCTCCTTCGAGCCCGCGGGCGCGGCGGGGCGAGCCGCAGCCGGCGGCCCTCTGCCTGCCGGACCCGGGCAGACGCCGGGACGCGCGGGAGCGGGCGCTCCGGGCCCCCCCTCCAGGGCAGCCGCGGAGGGAGGGAGCCCGCGGGGGCTCGGGGCAGAGCCGCCTGCCGAGAGAGCCGACCCGAGGAAAAGAAAATCAAAGATCTCACGACACAAAACAAGCTTGATTAAAACTGGTGCTTATGGTTTGGTGATTCCCCACAATCCCACAGTCTCCGTGAAAACCACTCAACTCATCCTGTAGCTTCTTTCTTTTTCGGAGAAAAGTCAGCTGCTCCGGCGCTGGCCAGCCCCTGCACACCACGGGTGCGCGGTAGGGCTGGGACACGGAGTGGAGCGGGCGAGCGTTTAAGGGAAAAAAAAAAAAAAAACTGGACAAAAGCAGAAATGTGAGCCCGTGCGGCTTTGGTTTCTCAAAGCCGGCGGAAGATGCGCGTTTGTGCCTTTTTTTTTATTGCTCTGATGGATTTTTGTGGCTGGGTTTTCCGAAGTCCGAGGAACAATGCCTTAAGAAAAATAAACAGCAGGAGTCGGTGGGACCGCTCCTTGTGGCCGGTGGGGCCGGAGGCCGGCTCGCACTGGCCTGGCGCTTCACAAGTGGTCCCCGCCACGGCCAGCAGCTCTGGAGGGCTGAGGTCCTGCCACCCTGTTTCGCTTTATTGCTGTTGAAGAAAAATGGAGGTAGTTCCAAAATAGTGGCAAATACTGTTGGGGGTTTCGAAGTCCAACAAATTTTAAATGAATCCAAAGTGTTCTTTTTCTCGTACATCATATAACAATCGAGCATCTCCATTTGGTTGTGAAGCATGTCCTAGGCACACTTTCAGTGTTACGATTGGAATGCTTTTTATTAAAAGCAAGTAGCATGAAGTATTGCTTAAAATTTTAGGTATAAATAAATATATATATGTATAATATATATTCCAATGTATTCCAAGCTAAGAAACTTGATTCTTATGAAATCTTGATAAAATATTTATAATGCATTTATAGAAAAAGTATATATATATATAAAATAAATGCAGATTGTAAAGGTCCCTGGCGAATGAACCGCTTGTGACTCAGCTCTCAAGGTGCTTGTGGAAAGGGATCTAGTTTGAAGCTCATGTTATTTCTGAACTCAGATTGGAGAGCTTTCAATCACAGGTTCGCCATGGGGCACCTGCCCTGCAAGATTGTACCTTCATCTTAATTATTTTCTGACCTGACCCCTCCCCACTCCAAGCCTCCATGCACATGTGTACCTGATAAGTTTTTATAGCAAAGGATATCAATTTGCTGTTGATTTTGTATGAATTTTTCACAAAAAGATCCGGAATAAGCATTGTTTTGTGAATTTTACATTTTTTCTCACCATTTAGCAGTTTTCTGAATGGTAATAACGTCAACCTTTTTCCTTTCTAAACTTTTGCTTGTACATTTTTTTTTAACTTTGGAAGGTATTTTTTATTATTATTATTATTTTCATTTTGTTTATTTTTGTACAGTGAGCACAGAGTTTATTTTCAGAGTGAGCACCAAGTGTGCAGCGGGGTCTGAGGTCTGCCCGCCTGGGCCCGCCTGTGGCTGTACAGAGAGCGTGGAGCCTTCCTTTGCCACCCGTGCTTTGTGGGCAGGGGACATCCTCGCAGTGCTGAGCTGAGGGGCTTGCCAGCCACCACGGGCCGTCAGCATCCATGAAATTCACGTGTAAACATCTCTGGCCACGTGGTCAGGATAGCATTTCTCACTTGGCTTTTCCAAAGAGCTTGTAAACTTGTCAGCCACGCGTGGAGCCAGAGGGCCTATGCACCCTCCCCAGGCTCTTCTGCGGCAGCCACATGGCAGGGCCCCGGCTGGGAGCCGCAGGCCTGAACTTTGAAGCCTGTGGCCGCAGAGAGCCTGGACCCTCAATGCCTGGTGACCCCGTGGGGACAGCAGACTGACTCCCCATCAGGATGTCTATCCTTTGCTTTTTTTTTTTCTCTTTGACAGTAACTGAAAAGGATCACTTTTTAGTGGTAACTAATTTTCCAGCCCTTGAAGCCACCAGTTTCATTCCAGAGTGTGCATCGGGTTCTGACTTGAGGAAGTGCAGATGCAGCTTGCCCATGGAAAGGGAACCCCAGCCAAGTCTCAAGTCTGGTGACATTTACAGGGTAGCTTCTGGAAGAGACTCTGACGCAGCCAGACTTGGGACCAAAAGAGTCCAGATTCTTGGACCGGCTTGGTCATCGGGTTGCTCTTGGTTAGACTCAGGACAGTGGTCAAGAGCAGGACAGGAAGAAGGGACATGTCTGGTGTCCCCTCTCCTCCTGGCCCCTTGCCCTGAGGCCCAGGTTGGTGGGGCAGCTGGAGTGTGGGGGCAGCTGGAGGCACCCAGTCCCCCCCTCAACAGAGGAGGCAGGGCCCAGCCAGTCGTCTCTTCTGGCCTCCTTGTCCCCCTTCCCCTGGGATCCCCCGCCACCTGCCCACTTCCTGCTGGCTGTGGCTCCTGGGGAGAAACACATCACCTGACGTTTTTACGGGTGATGGGATAACAGGTGACCTTGGTGGCCAAGTTCCTGTTGGAAAGGGTTACTTCTAATCTTGTCCAACAGAGACCTCCTCTGCAGAAGGCCCGACGGGGGCCGTTTTCATTTGTCAGCTCACTCCAGCTTCACAAGCGTGCTTAAAGCAGTACCGTGTAGCCTTTTGTTTTCTTTGAAGACACACTCAGCCCTTCTCCACGGCCAGCCGTCCGGGGCAGAGGGCAGAGGGCCCCCAGAGCTCCCACCGCCTCAGGGAGGGCACCCACACCTTCCCGCTGTGGTCCCTGGACCTCTAGCCTTTTTGTTCCTTTTCAGAGGCCTTGGGGGCACTGGCCGGGGGTCAGCAAGTGAGCACTTTATACCCCTTTGCAGGAAACCCCGTGATGCCGCGGGACTCGTGGTGTCCCCCTGCCCTTCGGGCCTTCCAGCTGCGCCTCAGGGCGCCCGAGCCCCACCAGCAGGCAGCCGTCCCCCGGCCGCCCCCGGCCGCCTGGGACTAGCCGCCCCTCCGGTTCCGAAGGGCCACTTTGTCAAAGTGTTTGGGTTTTTCTTGACTTCCTTTCCAAGTTTGTTTCCAGAGGAAGGACCATTTTGTACTGGTTCTGACATGAAAGCAAGTCTGATTTTTGCAGCACTAAGCAATGGAGTTTCTTGTTTTTAATTTTCGATCAGAACATTCCTTCTTTCCTGGTCACAGCCACACGCTCATTCCATTCTTCTTTTTGTAGACTTTTGGGCCCACGTGTTTTACGGGCATTGATACATATATAAATATATATATAAATACATATGAATATATTTTTTTAAGTTTCCTACACCTGGAGGTTGCATGGGCTGTACGAGCGGCATGTCTTTATATTGTATACGGATTTTGCACGCAAACGCGGCAGCTTGGGGAAGAAGAGAAATGCCTTTCTGTTCCCCTCCCATGACATTTGCAGACAACAAAAGATGGGGATTTTTTTTTTTTCTGTAAAACAAAACCTTGAAGGAGAGTGGGGGAGGGGGAAACGTTTGCGTCTTATTGAACTTATTCTTAAGAAATTGTACTTTTTATTGTAAGAAAAAATAAAAGGACTACTTAAACATTTGTCATATTAAGAAAAAGTTTATCTAGCACTTGTGGCATACCAATAATAGAGTTTATTGTATTTATGTGGAGACAGTGTTTTAGGGAGCCTACGCGGAGGTCGAGGTGGACCGCCCGTCTCCCTCGGTTGCTCTGGAGGAACTTGTCCCGTCGGGTTTCTTCCCTGGTCCCCCCCTCCCCGGGGAAACCGCGGCCCCTGGGGCCCTTTCCGCACCGCCGAGCCCACTTTTTCTGACTTCTAGGTGATGTATGGCTAGGATTTCACTTGACACTCAGCAGTCATGAATTCTGCTGCACTGTGGTTTAAAATCATACTTTGCATCAAAAGGACACCATTTCTTCCTTGTAATGAAGCAGAGCTTTTGCAGCTCAGCTCACTTTGGGTCTTTGACATGATTAAAAGCCTCCTATTGAAGGAAAAAGAAAGCAGACATTTTCTGTTTGTGGTTTTTTTTTTTGTTTTTTTTATCTTCTTTCTGGTGTGTGTGCTCCACAGTGGAGGCGCTATTTTCCAATTTATGAGAATGACAAACATATTATCATGTGTCTGTATGAGAGGGGGGTTGACCCGATTCACCCAAGAGCTCCTCATGGTCTGTCGCAGAAAACGCGGTGGGGACGCGTGCCCGTCCCCCCCCCCCACACCCCCGACGCCCGCTTCCCGCTCCTGTGGGCGCCAAGCGGGTGGCAGAGACCAGTCTCCTCTGTAACTTTGCATCCGTTCTCTCTTGATTGTCTGGACCTTCCCGGGGTCCTTTCCCTTTCTCAGTGGAGTTGGAGATTCTGTCCTCGGTTTTCTCATTCTTGTTTCGTTCTGTGTGCGGGGGTTTGCACCGACTGCGGTGTCCTCCCCCGACGGCCGGCTCCACTTCACCGGAGTCTAGTATTTGTACCTCATCATGCGACTTGTCACTCTTGTGGTGTAAATAAAGAGCATTAATTGCCCTCCGACCTGAGGTTTCTGCCGTGTGCTCTCGTGCTTGCCGGTTCCGGGTCAGGGTCCCTGCGAGGGGCGGTGGAGGGTGGGGGGAAACCTGGGACCCAGCCCATCAGCAGCCCTGCCACCCTCCACCCGTACAGACGGCCCACAGACGTATCTTCATTTAAATGTCCAGTAATTCAAGTCCTCAAATTATTTTCTCCCCAAAATCCTGGTCTGCAAACAACCTCGGAGGGGATCGAGGCTGAAGGGTAAGGACCAGAGGCCTGGCCTCTCTGGCGCTCGGTTCTGTGTCCCTGAGGCTGAGAGCCTGCAAACACGGCCACCTCCACGTGGCCACCATACCTCCCCACCCATCACACCCTTCCCAGGCCCTTGCATCCAGTGACATAA